CCAACTTTAATGATTCTGTGATTCTGTGACTGCTATGTCAAAAGACAAGCCTCCTGAGAGCAGGGATTCTGTGCTGCTGTTTCTGCCCTATTTGGGTGATTTCTAACATAACTGCCTTGCTCAGACCTTGTTTCTCCTCTTTGTACTTTCAGACAGACAAGACGGGTTGCTTCTTCACAAATGTGAGCCTGTCTTCCTTCAGTCGAGACTTTCGGTACTATCAAGACAGCATAGTTGCAGAGGCCTTGCTGGTGGAGGATGGCACAGGTAACTCTGGAAACGTCTCTGGTGTCTGGGAAGAGGCATATGAAGCTGTATGAAGGTGCACTAATCATACCAAGAACCCTGGAGACTTTCAGGCTAACAAAGGCTCTGAGCTTTCTGAGCTTGTCGGGGCCTGCCATCTAACCTCACAGATAGAGAGCGAGCCACCAATTCCTGGTGGCATAACACATTCATTCTGAATGCCCGTGGTCTCAGGTTCTGTAGCTTAGGGACCTCTCTAAGGGCTAGAAGATACTCAGAGCCCTGGGCAGATCATCTCCCTGTTATGAAATGTGTGTGCAGCTAAACAGTGAATCATTCTGCAGGGAAATTGCTGAGGGGTGCTTGGCGTCCTTGCTCCCTCCCTTATGTTTCTGTCTCGGTGCTTCCATTCAGAGGTACACGTCAACACTTCCCACAAATTACTCATCTCCAAGATTGGTGGGATGGCCTTGTTTGATGATGTGAATTCTTACTACCATGCTGGAGAGATGTACAGGGGAAAGGTAATTCCCAGTTACAGTCCTTTGGAGGGGTGACCGTGAGCAATGCCTTCACAGTAACTGTTACCTAGTGTCTTTTCCAATCTCACCTCCAGCCAGGAGCTTGGGAGGACAGGAATGACCCCCAGAGAGGGGGTCATTTTTGAATTGTCAAAAGTGGGAATAACATCCAAGACTGCCTTTTGCCAAATAAGCCTTGAGTAGCGGTAGCTATGGGGATCCATATGTGGGCTGCAAACCCAAACATTTGGACTCTCAGCAGCTGTGAGGTCTTCTGCTGTGAAGGGGTAGAGAGCATGGGGGTGAATGAACACTGTAGTGCAAGTGATAATAGGAGGTGATTAGTAGCAGTGTTGATAATATTGTTAGTGACTGGAAGGGTGACCTTGCTGTCTTTGGAAATGCTGCTCCTGACTTGAGGAAGCAGGAGATTCTGTCTGCTCATTAGACTCTTTTGCACTTCTCTTGCTCATCATGGTGTTCTCAGATTAAAGTCATTGACTACCAAGGCAAGACCCTGAAGCACAAAAAAGTCCTCCTCATAGTAAGCTGTGGTGAGCAGCAATTTAAGCAAAAGTACATCACTGGTGACTCTGGGACAGCTTCATTTAGCCTGAACACAACTGCTTGGAACAACACCTTAGCCTCCCTGGAGGTAAGTGAGGAACACAAGAGGTCTGTCTTGTTGGCAGGTGTATGCATGTACCTTGGAGCTATTTACTGCCCCACAGACATCTCCTCCATTCCTTGTTGAAGGACAGTAATTAAAACCTGAAACACCCCAGCATGTTCTGCATCTTGCCTCCCTCTGAGAGCATATTCTCTGGATCCCAGTTGCTTTCCTCATGAACTCTCCACACAGAGACCTGTGCTGTGGTGTTGCTCAGACCCGATCTGAGCTTCTTACCAAGCCACAGCTAGGGTCATTTGCAGGTGACTTGACTTACTTAACTAGATAAACCAACTGTGGTGGTCGTTTTTTTGTCTCGCCAGGCAAGTGTTCTGCATCAAGATTTGGATAAAGAGCCTGGGACAGTTGATTTGAGTTACCAGCGAGCCTCTTATTTTATACGTCCATTCTACAGCACCAGCAGGAGTTTTCTCTCTATTGTCCGTGTGCCGGAAACGATGCCCTGTGGTAAAAAGCAGGCTGTCCAGGTGGACTTCAGAATTTATCAGGAGGACCTGGAACACGGGCCCAAGCGTGTCATTTTCTCCTACTTTGTGAGTTTCTGGGGAAGAGCTAGTGCATGATGGCTCAAGGCCCAAGATTAGCATCTCCTACAGATTCAAGCCTGATGTTTGATAGATTTGGGTTAGCGCAGGATGGGTAGCTCATCCGGCCATCATGGGGCTGGATCCTGGTTTTGATCCTGGGGCTGCAGTAATAGCAAGAAAGGCAGCATCTTTCTTTTGGCTTTGCACAGGTACAGGGCAGGTGTTGGCCTTACCTATCCTCCCCCAAGTCTCTTGATCCCCTGAGCTCTCTCTGCTACTTGAGAGCGAGTAAAGCTCATATCCCTCCTCCTGCCCCCATTTAACCTCTAATTTCAGGGTTACTTTGATCTGCGTAGTGATCTCAAAGACTATGTGACTGGCATTCCCTTCCCTTTCTGTATTCTTCCCTAGGTCACAGGGAAAAGAGGGATAGTCCATGCAGGTCAGAAGACTGTTTGGGTTGGGCTGCCAAGAAGTAAGTGTACTCCTCTGTTTCATGTCTAGCAAGCACTCAGGGCTCTGTAGCATCCCATCTTATTTGGATATGTGGCATAAGCTTCTTTGCAATTTATAGCTGGCTCACCATTTTTCTGTGGCATCGGAGCAGCACACCTTTCCAGTTTTCATATTTCCTTTACCCTCCTGCTTGGTACCGAGAGAACAATACTTAGCATTTCCAAGCCCATAGGCTCATCCTCTGTTTTGTTAATTTTCAGAAATGTCTCCTTTTGCTGCTTCTGCAAGCAGCATGAAACTATATCCTTACCCTCTATCAAAACTCTCCTACTTTAATTTGCAATTGTGTCTACAAATAATCTTTGAGTAGTTAGGATGCCACAGCTTACAATTTTGATGGGTGTTGACTCACCGTTGTCTACTTCTCCACCTATTTTTTTTTAAACCTAAAATATAAGGTTCTTGAGGACAAAGGTCACTTCTTTGCTGGTGATGGGATGGGAGATGTTTGGTGATGGGAGTCTTTGAAAGATATCTGACTCTCACTCTTTGTGGACTTAAGCTTGAACTCCAGCAAGCTGTTTCATCTCCCTGAGGCAATGAGCAGAACCAGGAAGAGTCTTTTGCTGGTCTTGAATACCAGATCCAGAGATCTACTGACTGTTTCAGTGGTCTCCAGAAATCTCCTTGGTTCTGAAACACTTGAGGAAAGGAATTAAGCAGGCACATGCAGAATGGCAAAAGCTGAGTCCATTTCCGTTACAAAATCTGCTTTCTCCCCTCTCTCCTCCATCTAGTGCTGAAAGGCTTCTTCTCCATCCCTCTTACCTTCAGTTCGATTTATGCCCCAGCTCCAAGACTTGTTGTTTATGTTATCTTCCCTAATGGAAAAATCATCGCTGATTCTACAATCTTCAGTGTCTCCATGTGTTTCAGAAATAAGGTAGGATTTGTCTCTGAGGCCATGACTAAATGTGTGAGAGTGTATGCCTCATGAAAGAAGAGACTGAGGAATATGTAATATGTGTAGCTGTGTGTGGCTGATACTGTGTAGCATGCTGTCACATGAACTGCGGTATATGTACAGTGAAGTGTGCTGTGAGGTATGGAGCAAGTATGTGCTGAGCATTGTGGGGGCTGCTGCAATGTTTGGGAAAGGCAGAGGGCTGCTGTGTCTGTCTCCATAGGCTTGTATAGCAACTGCAACCCAGTAGGATCACAGCCCAGAACAGGTTATTAGTATGGTTCCCAGGAGAGCTCAAGGTTGTGCTGCTGCTGCAGCAGACACTTCGATGTGTTAGTACGTGGTGTTGGGAAGACAGCTGAAAGCGGCTGATGGAAGAAGTGGATTTTACTGGCCATCCCAAAAGGACTGAGTTCTTGTGGTCACTGTGACATCCATGGGAACCTGCTTTCTTGGCACTCCAAAGATGAACTTCTGAGCACTGGCATTACCCCTGCTCCATAGCTTTTTATCTGCCATGGACAGCCAGATTCAAGCAAGAACAGGAAGTGCTTCAGGAAACTGTCAGCAACCCCACAAAGGGCCTGATGATAATAACTAGGCTTATTTTTGGTCTGGGGCTCCAAAAGGAGCAGAAAGACAGCTGTGTGAGGTTTATGATCATGGCTGGCTGGTTTGAGGGGTGGAGAGAGCACTGTGTTCAGACACAGGAATGTCTCCAGTACTGTTAGCTGTGTGTACGCTGATGGTTCGCCCTCTGTCATCTTTCCTGTTAAAACCTTAACGTGATATTTTTTAAAATACCCACTAGGGGTTCTTGGGAGATTCCTTGGGTTTCCATCCAAGGCAAGTCTGTGGAAACTCTCTTCATGTAGGTCTCTTCCCATCCAGGTGGAGCTGGGCTTCTCAACGCCCCAGACCCTTCCTGATTCAGAGGTTGGTCTCCACCTGCTGGCATCTCCTGGGTCCACATGTGCTGTCTGGGCTGTGGATCAGAGCATCCTTTTTCTGAAGCCAGGAAAAGAGCTCAGCAGCTCCTTGGTGAGTGATCCTGCTCTGACTTCTTCCCTTCCCTTGTACTGACATGAAAAGGGAGGGAGGGAAGGAGGCAGACAGGCCGTTGCATCTGTGCAGAGCTTATCTCCCAAGGAACTCAAAGCACTGCCCAGAGAGACCAGCAGTACTCTGTGTGGCACAGGTGGGGGTTAGGGGACAGGTGTGAAGAAAGAGGTTGAACATCGCTCAGTGCACGGGTGGTAGATCAACTTCTGTTGTTCTCTCTCACGTTCAGTTCAGCGGGTCGTGCTGGCTCTATCAGAGGAGAGCTAGGGAAGAGTGACAGCGAGCCTGGGCTCTCGGGCGTGCATTCATGCATGGTAGCCAGGAGCAATCCAAACAGGCCTTGGATGTGTGACAGGAGGGGAATGCCAGGTTTTATTTGTGCTGATGTTTTTTTGCTTTTTCTTGCTTTCCCAGATCTATGGGCTGTTCCCACCTGTTTATAAGTCCAGGTATCCTCGCGAAGTGTCTGAAGATGATAATTCATGCGGGTTCCCAAATTCTGATGAGCCTGATGTGTTTACAGCATTCAGGGTAAAAATCGTTGATTTGGTGGGTTGGGATAATTCATGAACTGAGGGAAGTGTGACCTCCTGACTTTACCAACGTCCTAGGGATGCCATTACAGACAGTACAGGGAACAGGTCCAGTTTAGGCCCTTGTAACTCACTTGTAATTTAAATAAGCGACTTGAAATTGCTGACCAAGAAGAAACTGTTATGTGGTTACTGTGCTTTGGTTGTGTGCTTTAGGATGCCAAGGATGATTGGTTACTTTGATTGGATTTCACATAGTTTAATCTCCGTAGCATGAGCAATTGCACTCTGCAGGCTGAGAAGGCATAATATCTAAATGACCATGTGTTTGAAAAAGAATAGGTTTGGCTGTCTCAGGCCAGATGAATTAGCTCAGAAAACCTTGTTTGCCCGCTGCTGAAGATCTGAATAATTCCTTCTGAAAATGAAGCAAGAGAACACTTTGCCAAGCCAGAGGACAGCCAAGTCCCCACTGTGAGGGGACAAGGAGGCACAGGGTAGAGAGCAGAGAGGAGAGGGTAAGCTTCTGGTGCATCAGTTCTTTTTTTTTCCTACAGGAAATGGGGTTGAAAATTATGTCCAACACCAATATCAGGAAGCCCAGAGTGTGTCCAACCACTCCATTGTCAACTATGCTGCAGGAAAGAGCAGTGTTTACTTCCAGGCCCATGTTGATGTTTGCCCAGCCCCATAAAGCATATAACAGTAAGCATTTGCCAACTGTTTCTTCTTTCATGAGATGCTCAGTCTTTCAGGTGAAAACAATCCTGGATTTGAGTGAAGAGGCAGTACTTGCTGTAATTGCAAATGGAGGAGCGAGAGTGTTCCCTGGCTCTAAACCTGTTGTGCTATTGTGAGGCTGCCTGGGGCTCATGGCTTCTGGCTCTGAAATGTTAGTGAGCTGTCTGGATCCCAAGCCTTATCTCTGAGGTGAGGGAATGGTTGCCCTTCCCTTGGTGCCTACAAATGCGAGTAAGGCCCACAGCACCTCTGTTGTTTGAAATGAGGCAAGAGATTTTAAAATTTGGGATAGCACCTTCTGTTCCAGTGCCATGCTTCCCAAGAGCTGACTGGATGACCTGCAGCCTGAGCTGGGCTGGAGCCCCTCTGCTCTAAACCAGGGCCTGAGGACTCTGTGGTGACTGGGACTTTGTTATTTCCAGCAGAGCATCTGACAACATCTACCTATCAGCCCACTATGTTTTTACCTGTTTCTTCAGTTGAAGAGAAACTACACAAGCATTTCCCCAAAACCTGGATATGGGATTTGTATTCTGTGGGGTGAGTAAACTGAGCAGTGGGTATCTCCTCTGTGTGGCTTAGTGTGACTGGGAATGGCAGGAGATACAACTGGGTTTAGATCATGAGCTGCTGAGGAAAATATCTAAGGACATATGTCATGGGGCTCATACCTGTCAGGCCATTTCTCATCGGAGCTGATGTCTGCATCGAATGCATTTTCCAGTACTAGATGGTGATACAGAAGTATTGTCCATCCATGGGTGGGCTGGCGTGGGAAGATAGGAAAGCAGGTGCGGTGCAACAAGACAGTTAGTTAGGTTTACTGTCTGCACTCTGCTTGTGGTAATCCTGTAGGCCAGCATTTCCCAATCTGTGCTCACAGGATGTGTCCTGGGATGCAGGGGAAGCTGATCTCCACAGAATTCCTTCACAGGATAGGGAACTGTGTCCTGTGAGAAAGGCTCAATGAGTACATAGGGTCTGCTGAGGGAGATTTTGGAGATTTTTCATCTCTGATACTAAGAATTTGTTGTCTGGAGTCTGTTCAGGCCAGATGCCCACACATCTGCCCTCTCCCACCTCCACTGTCCTTCCAGCTACACCCATCTCTTCAGTCCCTAGCAGCAGATATTTCCTGTGTGATTTGACCACCAACCTGATCTGAGCAACCAAATGTATGTGTTACCTTCCTGTATGTGCCTGGCAAAAGTGAATGCCTCCAGTTATTGGAGTCAAATAATTTCATTAGCTTTAGCTAGGGCTGTTTTTACGTCTGCTGTGGTAGCAGCCACAGAGCAGTCTGCTGCTCTCAGAAGTTGTAATGTGGGCACCAGCCAAGTCTTTGTCCTGTCTGCATGTTGGACTTCAAGCTGTCAGTGTCTCACAGGAAGGTGAATGGCTGGATCTGTCTCTTCTGCTAAGTTCAACTGATGTTGAGCCAGTCTTGTTGCTCTTCTGGTGTCTGGTTCTCCATCCCTAGGCCAAGAAGAATAAAACTTCTGACATCTGTAAAGCATTTTTAGATGTGCAAAGGGCAAGTGCTGTCTGAGAACAGCACTGAGTGTGTGTGATGGCATTTTGCAGCCATGTAACTTATTGTCAAAAATGTTCTGTTGATATAAAGATCTGAGGCAGGGGTCCCTACTTCTACAAGGACCCACTTGTAACCCTACAAGGGCTACAAGTTCAGCAGAGGTTAGGGGTTAGACCGAGGTTAGGGAATGGGGTGCATTGGAGAGAATGGTGCAGACCAGGTCACGTAGTGCTGCATACAGCAAGATTCAGTTAAATGTGTCTGTTGCTGTCTACTTCTCCTCAGTCCCAGTGGGAACAAGAATGTCACTGTCACTGTGCCTAACACCATCACAGAATGGAAAGCAGGGATGTTCTGCATAGGCCATAATGGCTTTGGACTAGCTCCAACCTCCAGTCTGCTTGTTTTCAAGCCTTTTCTTGTGGAGCTCACACTGCCATCTTCTGTGATCCAGGGTGAGACCTTCATCTTGAAGGCCACAGTCTTCAACTACCTGCAGCGATGCATGAAGGTAGGTGAGCCCTGATAGGCTCTGCAAGAAAAGTAAGGTATGGATAGGTAGAAGATGGCTGAAATCTATGGCCTGTGATATTTATCTTGTTACCACCTGCCATCCCTGCTGCCCCTTCAGATCCAAGTGACCCTGGACAAGTTCGCACGCTTCCAGCTGAAGCCATGCAAAGGCTGTGTCTACAGCAGCTGCTTATGTGCCAGTGAAGCTAAGACCTTTCAGTGGAGTGTCACAGCTGAGCAACTGGGTGAGAACAGGGAGGTGGGATGATAGAATTGGGAAGGGGTGGGACCAAGGTAGGGATGTTTTATAAGAGCTGACATGGAGTGAGGAGTTATTTGCCTTGTTAACCAGAGAGTAGTTGTTTGCATTCATTCTAAGGTCATGACTACTAGCAAGTCTGTGCTAGGAGGTACAGAATCATATAGGGCTCTGATCTAATTTTTTGTTGTCAACAGATGACTTCTATTGTATAAATGGGAAGTTTATGCCCCTAAATGTGTATTATTTTCAGGGCTCATGAACATCACGCTCAGCACAGAGGCTGTGGCCACCGAAGAGCTCTGTGGCAAAGAGACACCATTTGTCCCAAACCAAGGACAGAAAGATATGATCACCAAACTCCTTCTAGTCCGGGTCAGACAAACTTTTCTGTTACAGAGACCTAAAAGTGGGCTTTGTGTAATTCCCAGATTTTGTGCAGGTTAATTTTGGGAGTTACGCCTTGCTATTCAAGGTGTGTAATTAGAATCTTGGGGCCTGACCTGGGCCCAGCTGTGAGGGCTAATGGATGTGGGAGGTAGAGAAGTATCCTTCACTTCATACCTTGGAAAACTTTAAATAGGTATACTCTTTTATGTTCTAACTCCTGAGCTCTCTGCTGAATCTTACAGCATCAGTTTCCCAGACATTGAGAATCTGAAAATGCATGTTGTTGTCTTATCTGAGATGAAAATTATTTACAGTAAATTACATTTTTGTGTGATAATGGTGTTACTCCAGCTGACTCTCCAGCCTGAACCAGGATTTTGTCCATATCTATTTCTAATCCACTTGTAATCCTGTTTCTCTCCTGTGTGCTCATTGTAATGATACTTTTATGTGCTCGAACAGCCAGAGGGAGTGTTGGTAGAAAAGGCTCACAGCTCCATCCTGTGTCCCAGAAAAGGTAGAGAGATTGTTTTCTTCTTTCACCCTGCTCATACGCCCCTTCCTGCCTAACCACCTCCTGCGTCTTTCCACTTTTTGAATATTTTCTCTGCTAACATGACCAAGCTACAGAAGCATATTCTAATTGTGGTGCCAGCTAGAGCTTCCCCTGGGTAAGGATGTAGGGAGGTGCAGTCTTTTAGCATCAACATCCCTGATACTAATGTGACAGCTTGAGGCCTTTTTCACCTGTGCTAATAAAACCAGCCTACTGAAAATGGCGAGGCTGGAGGACGTGACTTAGGATTGCTGCTCCTGTCTTGAATTTTATGGTGTCTAATGGGGCCATTAGCAGATTTTGAGAGCATGAGGCACACTGAGAAGACATGCCTGCAACTGAAATCTGAAACAAGATGGAGTAACTTATGTAGTGAAAAGCTAGTGGCTTTGACCACAGAAGGTTTCCAGGAGAAGATCCTGTCAACCTCTGTAGAAGGAAGGCTGTTAGGATAGCACAGTCATGATGAGGTGGATGGAGGGAGTTGAGGGTGGAATGGGACAGGGTTTTTGAGGTGATCTGTAACTTCTGTGGCAGGAAAATGGGATGTTAGCATAGAACAGTCTTGAACAGTTTCTGAGGGTTTTGAAGGCTGTTTTCATCAGAATTTCCTTCTTTTTGTCCTCCCCACATACCTTACCCCACCGGTGTATTCCCACAGGGAATCCAGCACAGGAGTCTGTGTCTCTGATGTTGCCGCTAAATGTGGTTGAAGGTTCAGTCAGAGCCACCATGTCGGTCACCGGTAAGGAATTCAGCTACGATAATACCTTTCCAAATCCCACATCTCTGAGCTTAGTCCTAGGAAAGCCCAAACTCAAACCCCCCCATACCCTTTCTGAGGTTTCTGAGTCTCCACTGCACTGTTCTTCCCATGTGTGTGGGAAGACAACCAGATAACATAAAACACTCAGCAAGGGAGAGGATGTTCTGTTTAGGGGCTTCGCCTGCCAGGATGGGATGTGTACAGCCTGTATGGAGGGCACAGTGGAACTGATAAGCTGGCTGGACAGATGTACCCCACACTGCTCTGCTGGGACTATCTTGCCTGGATCACTGCTGGGAACGGGTCACAGGTAGGAAGAGTCGGTAAGGGTGCCTATGCTCTGTTCCAGGTGACCTCATGGGGGCAGCACTGCAGAACCTGGACCGCCTGGTGCAGATGCCCCATGGCTGTGGGGAGCAGAACATGGTGCTGTTTGCCCCCATTGTCTATGTGCTGCAGTACCTGGAGAAAACAAGGCAGCTGACCCCTGAGATCAAGGAGAGGGCAACAGGATTCCTGCGCAATGGCAAGTGCAAGAGACCCACCTTGCTCTTCTGCCTTCCCCTGTGTCCAACCTACCAATGGTTGCCCACTCCCCTTCCCCCCAGAGCACTCCTCCACTTATAATGTTAACACCACCCCATTCCCTGCCCAGTGATTTCATTGCAAATACCATTCTGAGTGCTAATGCCCTATCCTACTCCCTAGGGTACCAGATACAGCTGCAGTATCAACACCCTGATGGTTCCTACAGTGAATTTGGTGCCAAGGATGAGTATGGTAATACTTGGTAAGCCCTGGTTTCTCTCCCTGCTGTCTATCTGCTGTCTGACAGCCTGGAGGTGGGCAGCTTAATGCTTACAACATTGAATCTTTTCTGTTCTCTTGGACCCAAAGTGTTCCAGATCCTTTGCGGGGTAGGGCACCCCAGGGTTATGCAGCTGTCCTTGGAATGAACTGTCCTTGGACCAGCAAATAAGGAATAGCAGAACAATAGGTGAGGAGAGACTCACCAGTTTCAAACTCCCACTTTTTTTCTTTTTCCTCAGCTTCTGCTTAGATTCTTTCTTTTCACTCATTCTTCCCTCTCTTTCATTCACTCCATCTCTTTCTGCTTGTCTCTTCCCTCTCTCATGCCTTTTTTCTTTTCTCTCCCCAACCAGGCTGACTGCATTTGTGCTTAAATGCTTCGTCCAAGCCAAGCCATACATTTTCCTGGACAACAGGACCATCCAAGCTGCTCTCACCTGGCTGGAGTTCCACCAGCTTCCCAATGGTTGCTTCAGAAATGTGGGCCAACTTTTCCACGCGGCCATGAAGGTAGGAGACAGAGCACCTTGGAGGACAAGTCAAAGCAGTTCTTGCCAAGTCTACTGGTAATCATTTGAGTTCACTTTCCTGTGTTGTTCTGCTTTCTTGTGTGGGAGCAAGCCAGGGATAGGTGGGACCTTTACTGAAGAGCTTCAGGTCTTTGTGTATTAACTTTCCCAGCTTTTTGGGTGTTTATGCTTTTTATAGGGAGGTGTGGATGGGGAGGTCCCCTTGGCTGCCTACATCACTGCTGCATACTTAGAGGCAGGAGAGACACCAGAGGTAAATATTTGGATTCTTTGCCATGCTCTTGCCTTAAGATCTGAATCTTGAAGAGCTTAGTAGTGTCACTGATGCAGACAACATAGTGTCTTGGAGAAGCTTGTGGACAAATTAATAGGATAGGTGAGGAAGAACTTATCACTTCTCAGGAAAAAGCTTCAACTATTCCTTGAAGAGGACATTGCTGGCAGGGGAGAAGGTGAGGTTAGACTACAGAGAGCCATTGGAGTTCATGGCTAGATACTATGACATGGCTAGATACTAGGCTTTGGCTGCTCATTCCTGCCCCACGGCCCTGCCATCCTCCCAGCCCCTTGCTAGCCTTGGTACTACACGCAGCTGAGAGCTAGTGGTGAGTTGTTAGGGGGGAGATGTTGGTGTAGCTGCTCCCGCAGTTAAGTAAATAGCCATAACGACATTTTTAATGTGTTTTAGCTTCCCAGAAAGTGTAAGTCTGGGAAAAGAGTGCTGTAGGGAGATACATGTTGCAAAGTAGGGCAGATGGGATTGCACACCTAAGTAATAACAAGAGGGAATTCTTACAAATGCTAAATATCATAACTAATTACTCTGCGGTACTGGCAGTTAAAAAAATATAGTCAACTCGATGGAGAAATGCTATTGGTATAGACTTTGGGAAGCAAAATTCTCTGAAAATAAGAAAAGTAAGTGAAAGAGTGGTGCTTTTCATTGCAACTGAAAACAATGTGCTTCGGGAAAAAAGTGAGACAGATGGAAATTAACCTTCTTTCTGGCAATAGATGTCATTCAGGTCACTTTTTTTCACCGTTAGGACAATTAAGTGTTGGAACAGGTTGCCTAGAGAGGTTTAGTTGTCTCCATCATTCTATGTTTTCAAGATCTGACTGGAAAAAACACCTGGGCTGATTTCATAGCTAACCCTGCTTTGAACAGGAAGTTGGATTAGAGACCTTCTGAGGTCCCTCCCAATCTGAATTATTCTATCATTTGGTAATTCTATGAACTGTCTGAGTTTTGGCTGACTTTTGTGGAGGAGGCTTTTCATGAAACTGGATGATGAATATTTGACACATACAGTGCTCTGCAGCACAATGAAACAAAAGGAAAAGGACCTTCATCCTGGTAGAAGATTAACAAACAGTTGTTGTAGGTCTTAAGAACCAGTTTTGTCATTTGGGAAGAAAAGCAAAGAATTACTGAGAAGAGACCAGACTGTGCTCCAAATTCATGAATAAAATCCTGAGAGGGAGACAAACAGGACCTCAAAGCAATTTGCATGATGAGCTAGTGGAAGCCACTCTGTCCTGAATGAATCCACAGAGGGTGACTCAGTGCTCTGACAGTGGTGGGAGAATCTAGGCTACCACAAGGTAGGAGACCTCATAAAATTCCTCATGCTCCAGAGAAGATGTATTGTTAGCTGTAAATAACAATATCATTTATATTATATATATATAGTTATCTATATAATATAATAATGGATGTAGTATTACTGCTCCAGGCAACAGTATTGTTAGCTCAGAAAGAATTGTCCATGGAGCGAGGAATGCTTCGTTGCATCAGATGATTTGTTGATGTGAAAGTAACCAGACAATTATTCAATTGAACACAAATTGTTTTTATATAAAATGGTCATGACATTGAAATACACTCATAAGTAACAACAAATAGGTAAAACCACAAGTCTCACAGTAGTTATCCTAGACCCAGTGAAGGAATTTGCTGCATAGGTCTGTGGGCAGATGAAGTGGGGAACACAAAGCTTGTCATAGCACTTAGAAGAATATCCTTGAGTGGGTTGGGTTATAAATGATATTACAAAGAATACACAATCACTGGAGGTCAAAATCCTGAGAAAGAGTTTGAGGATGCCCTGCAAGGGCTAATGCACTCAAGATGTTCAGAACAGATCCTACTTTCCCTTACAAGCATATCTAAAAGGCTCATAAAAGTCATTAGGGGTTAAAATGCAGGGAAAAGGTTGGAGATATTTTACACTGTCCTGAATAAACTGATGTTAAAGCATGGTTTGTATGGCAAAAAAATCTAGGCAAACAGACCTCTACCCCCACTCTTTTGGAAATGGATTTCTTGGAACCGAACAGATTGTTTGTGTTGACTGCAGAAACAAATGGCATGTTGTAGAGGAGCAATTTCTTAGCTGGCATGTGACTGCTCCCAGGGAAGCTAAATGCTTCTGTACAGCATGCAGTTAGGACTGCTATTGTCAACACCAGGATAGCACAGTAAGTGTGAAAAAACTGCCAGTAGAGTGGCACTCGGTTTTTGTGTTAGTTTCACCAGAAGACACCAGAACCAGGTGGGTTATAATACGTCAGACTCTTCAAGGTATTAAGATGTATGATAATAGTCAGCACTTCACAGGTGGTACATCAAGTGTTTTCACTCTTCACTCAAGTTTGGTAGTTGTACAGACACTAGTGCTGTTAACTCCATTTTAACTGTCTGGGAAAGTGAAAGATTGAAGATGGAAAAGTAATCATAAAGGAGCCTTTGAATAAATTCATGAATGTGGTATAATTCCTACTTAGGTCTATTCAGTTACAGAATACAAAGGTTACTGTGCTGCTTGCAGTTATTATATTTAAAGGCAAATAGAGAAGTAGGACTTTTGAAATGGTGGGAGCTTAGCTTACTGCTTCTGCTGGGCTTTAACAAGAAAGAACAACCAAAAAGCATCAGCTGGATCCTGTGAACTTTTGGTACTCCATGAGTAGATACTATGAGCCTTTCTGAAAATTGGTAGCCGCATCCAGCAGTACTACTCCACCATCTAGAGAGCACAAGATGACACAGACGTTACCTTTTCTCTTTCCTAGATGGGAAAGAGGTGAGGAGCATGTTGCATGTCAGAATAAATCTTAAATGTAGCCCTTGTGCAATCCTTACTGTACCTAACTGCAAGAGGGGAAACTATGAAGTGCTATAAATGCACACATATGGGACAGACAACCACTGTGAGCCTTTAGCTCATGTTTGGAATAGCATAACTGAATGCTAGAATACAATGCTGCTGAGACTAGTGGGTTTGCTGTCTCCTGCCCACAACAGTACTGATGTTCCAGGGGAAACTGGAAATCCCATTGACCTTGTAAGGCACCATAGAGGTGAATTGAACAGAGTAATCTTGGTCAGCAGGCTGGATGTAAGCATTTGCAATTGTGTGTTGTTGCTCTTTTTGTGTTTGGACTTGCAAAGTATGACATTGTGGTGTTATTCCAGCAGTAAAGGCATTCATTTCACTGAGAGAGCACTGCTGAAAGTGACTTGCTTGGGCAGGTCTATCAAGCACCTTGCACCAAGGGCTGGAGACACTGGTTACTGGTGCTGCACTGATCCAAAGAGAAGAGTGCAGGCTCTCTTGAGAGAGAGCACAGGGACACCTTAGAGAACATATGGGCTGCTTTCTGTGCTGACATGTGCTAATGCATCCTTCTGCTTCTGTACCTCAGTGTTTGCCTGCCTCACGTGTGTTTGTGTGTGACCAACATCCATGCAACTCTTCTCTGTAGAGTACAGTGGTGCGCAAGGCTCTGGGCTGCGTTGTTACTTCCCTTCACAAAGCTGCCAACACTTACACCCAAGCCCTGCTGGCCTACACCTTCGCCCTGGCTAAGGACTCTCAACGCACACAAGAGCTACTTGATATACTTGATCGAAAGGCAATCAGAGCAGGTATGGGAACCCCAGTTCCACGTGAACATCAGAGAAGGGATGAGCGACCTTTCTGAGCCCTTGGTTACATGCAAACTGGAAGGACTATGGTCCTCTCTTTAGGTCTTAATTCCTGTCCTTCACCAAAGAGAGTTTTTAGACAGCCAGTCTGTGAACCCAAGGTATGTACTGGCAATACTGGGGTGTGAGTGCTGATTTCCTTTAAGCCTCTCACCCTCTTCTGGTACCTGAAGTAAAGGTTGGGCTCTGAGAGAAGTGGGCTTCCTTAGGCAGAACTGCAAAGCGCCAGAGAGGAAAGCAAGCTGGCAAACTGCCCCATTTCTTGTTAGTCCCAGACCCCCAGAACTAGCTAGTGGGTAGCTAGCTAGTATCAGGTAGTTAGCAGACCTGATGAAGAGGACAAGGGAGAAGTTGGATGTCTGGCATGTAATGAGTATGCAAATATGTGTTTGCATATTAGTTTTTGCATATCACCTTAGTAAATGGATCTTTAAATGCGTAATATGGAGGGTTGGGTATTGCAAAATACATGAGATCACACTTCACTCAGTGACGTGATGACCCAGCCATGAGGCTTTGCACACACAAGCCACTGTGACCTCTAGGCCTCAGGATTTCTTTCCTGACATCCCTCAATGTTATCTACTTCCTTCCTTTCCCAGGTGGGCAAATCCACTGGAGTCAGACCCCATCTAAGCCCAGACCCAGCACCAGCGCTTGGTCACAGCCACTGTCTGTGGATGTGGAGTTGACAGCCTACGTCCTCCTGGCCCTGCTCTCCAAGCCAAATGGCACAGGGTCTGATCTCACCACAGCCTCTCGCATCGTGGCCTGGCTCACCAGGCAGCAGAATGCCTATGGAGGGTTTGCCTCAACACAGGTAACTCGTGGCTGGGGAAGGGGATGTTACTTGAGAAAGAACCTCTGCACAGTACATGCAAGTGTGAAAGTAACAGCGTGAAGGCTTTGAGGAGAGGTCCTTAGGACAGTGAGTTCAAGTGTCTTTGGGTCTCAGAGCTGCAGAGCAAACATGAAAATGTAATTGTTTCTTCCTTTTCAGGACACAGTAGTTGCTTTGCAGGCCTTGGCTAACTATGCAGCACTGACGTACAGCACGAAAGGGGTGGCAGAAGTGAGAGTGAGATCCCAGAGAGGCTTTGGGAGGAAGTTCCAAGTCTCCTACCAGAACCGACTGTTGGTGCAGGAGGTGGCACTGACAGAAGTCCCAGGAAAGTTCTCAGTGCAGGCCCATGGCAGCTGTTGTGTCTTTACCCGGGTAGGTTGCCCCCTTCCCACAGACACTGCTGTGACAACTCTTTGCTCACCATCTTATCAAAACTGAAAGTCTCTGTTGCAGCTCTATGCGAAGAAATAATCCCAGCCTGTTGCCAATGCAGTAAACCTGTGTGCCATAGGAGATTCAAGACATAACGTGTCCAAATGTGAGGACAGTGATGCTTCTGTGGCTCTCAGGGTATCGGAGGATGGAAATCTTGCATTGTGTGCCCGACTTGCACAGTCTCAAGGGGAAGAGTAAAGAGAAGGACTCTCAGCTGGAAAGATCATGGAAAATTTCCAATCTGAGTGACCTTTATTTTGGGTAGTGGGATGAGTGTGGTCACTGTGTATGGTTTATCCAGTCACTGTCTGGGGTCCATATTTTGAAAATTAGTCAGTGAAACAAAAGGTATGATAAATGATATTGAACTAACAATTATCCATGTCTTATTCTGTCTTTTTGTCTCTCCCTGCAGATGGTGCTGAGGTACAATACGCCCTCCCCACAGGTCTCCACGTCCTTTGCCTTGCACGTGAAAACTGAGCCAGTCAATTGCACGGATGATGGCACACACACTGTTACTGTCTATGTCAATGTCAGGTGACTCTAAAGACACAGCCCCACTTGGGAAGGAATGTCAGGCATGGCTGGAGAGCTAAGGGGTGCTTCTTGGCTGCAACGGAGACACCAGGCAGTTTCAGCAGAATGCCCAGATGGCAGATGGAGGAGGAAAAATACAAGTGACTCTGGGGAAGGGGAAATGTTTCTGAAGGATTTGGTTCTTGCTAGGGAGAGGAGTGCAAGTAGTCACCTCAGATTGGGGATGCTTAGAGCAGTGCAGCCATCATCTTACCCCCATGAGAGGGAGCAGTGACTGCCGTGGCCCCGATCCTGGCTAAGTTGCCTGGCTCAGGGTCTTGCACACAGGGTATGGTGGTGGAGGGAAGGGGAAGCTGGGAGAGACTCTCTTTTTTACTTTCTCCCCCAGGTACACTGGGAAGAGATCCACTTCCAACATGGTGATCGTGGAAGTGTCCCTACTGTCTGGATTTGTCTTAGCTCCAGGATCTGGGATGTCTGTAAGAAGCCTGGAATCAGGGTGGTGATGTGGTGTCAGTGGGACTGTCCATGCCCAAGGAGAGGGAAAGGTTGCATAGGAAAGTGTTGCCAAGCAATCTCACCATCCTTTCATCTCTGCCACACAACAAACGTGAACACATACTGTCATCTCGCTCTTTGTGCCTTGAGAATGATGGTCCTTCTGGCCCAATTCACTCAGCAACTTTACTGCTAAGTAGCCTAGGTTCCTGTCCTTGAGTTTTGCAGGAGATGAGTGGTCCTACAGGGAGATCAGCCTGAAGGGCTAAGAGCTCAAAATAAGTTTGGAAGTGAGTGAATAAGAATCTGCCCACTCAAGCTTAGATAAACCTTGTTGGCATGTCTCACACTTGTTTTTTAAAAGACCCAATTAAATTGCTTCCTGTGCTCTTCTGTCCTAGCTGCAGCATTGGCACCCTGTGAGAAGAACTGAGAAAACACAAGGAGGTGTTGCCATCTACTTGGACAAGGTATGTGTGTGTTCTACTAGAGAAGCTGCAGGAGTGGAGGACAGTGGCAGAGTTGCGTGGGGAATCCAGGACTGAGCTAGCAGAGCAGGATATTCAAGATTCATCTTGAAGTCCTGCCTCTGACTCAACAGAGTTGTTATTGCCTGTCAGTAGGATCAAATTCAGGTGAGGAATAAAAAGAACAGCTTGTAAGTGAACTGTCATTTGCTCTTCATCCCCAGCTGAGCCATAAGTCTGAGACATATGTCCTGCATCTGGAACGGGAGGTTGGGGTGACCAACCTGAAGCCAGGCCATGTCAGGGTCTATGACTACTACCATCCAGGTGAGTGTGGAACCATGAGGTGCAAGGTCTGTCTGGGTGTTTGCGGTTGGCTCTGTGCAAGGATAACTTAGGTCTCTCCTGTCCTGTTGCAGAGGAGCAGGCCCTGGCTGATTATAATATCTTCTGCATCTGAGGTAGGTGTGAGTCCCTTCCTCAGCCCCTGTACAGACCTAACAACTTTGTGATCTTTCCTCTGCAACCCAACCACCTCTCTCTTGTCCCAGAGGAGCTCTGTGTATCTCTGATACAGCATGTTCCCTTCATTTAGGACTACATCTCAAATTCCCTAGGCCTCCAGGGACTTTAGTCTCTTCCTTCTGTTTACTAGACTTTGTAATGTAGTCTTTGCTGGATTGCCCTGTAGGCAAGACATGAAGTGATTAACGTGTCCATGCTGTGAAGGACTAGTTGTGTACATTTTCTGGGACTCTCTGCAGGGGTATCTGGGCTGGTATAGTGCATGGGTCTGCCTGCCAGCTGAGGGACAGTGCTCATAGATGGTTTGCACTGTTCTAGAAGAACTTCCAAGCAGAATTCACAGTACTAATTTCAACTTACCCTGTTTGGGTATGGAGAGACCCACCTGTTCCTGGGGAGGGGCTGAAATAAAACAACGGCACTAGATCAAACCAGAGAAACAATTTCTGTTAGAGTCCTTAGTGAGAACCTGGGCTCCCTAGCTGTTAGCATCCCAGAGTTGTTAATTTGGGTCATGTTATTTTCTCTCTGGGTTACTCCCTCTTCCTGCTCTCTTTTCTCCAAGGGCTTGGTCTGCTCTCTTACTGTCCACTGTTTAAGCCCACAGGGATTCCACTGGTGCGAGATGCCCTAGGTCAAAAAGGCTGCTGCATTATTGCTTCTGGTATGATGGGGCACGTACCACCTGGAAAGTCATATCTCTGGGCTTGGGAGATTGGTGCTGAGGCAGATCTCAAGTTGGATTTCAGGACTAAACCCAACCCAAGCCATCCTGCTCATCCTGACAGCCATCTCCTGGTGAATTCTTTGGGGTGTCTGATTAATTCTGATTGTTTTAATCCAGGGATTTTCTTGCTTGTAAAAGAATGAAAATAAAATATAAGACACAAATCTGGGTACTGTGGTGTGTGTTTGGACTCCATGACAGAGGATTACCTTGGAGGAAAGTGCAGAAGCAAACTCTCATAGAGAGAGTGTAGCTGAACCATGCACCTGGCATTCATTTCTTCCAGCACTGGCTTCCACTCCAGCAGCATCATGCAGCCATCAGTGTGAGGTGAGGACTGCATGGAGCCTGATCCCACTGAGCATCACCTACTGCACACAGGTGTACCTGAGAAAAAGGCCTGGGCTGATTCTGCAGTTCACAGGGATGTAAAGTAAAGCTACCCTGCTGTGTACCTCACAGATTAGCTTCTGTCCTCCTAGCGTAGAAAGAGGGAGGGTAGTAATTTTAGTTTCTGCACCTCCTATGAAGCTGGATCTTGCACATGATGATTCAAGCATGAGTTGTCAGGCAGGGATGGTGCCTCAGGGTTGAACGTTCCCCGCCAGTGAGCTGCTGGAGAGTGAACAGGATCTTTGTCACATGACAAGAAGATGCAAGGACAATTCAACAACTGAAGGGTATGTGGAAATTCAACATCTATCACTGCTTTTTAAAATCAAACCTCATGATTTGAAGGAAGTCCAGCTTATGATCTGGGATCTTCAAGAACATACATTGCTATGTCCCTGTACAGACAGGTAGGTCTCCACCCAGAGCTGGCTGTGAACGTGATGGCTAAGCACAAAGTCAGGCTTAGGAGTGGAAGGTCTGGGAGAGGGGGTGGGCTTGAGGGTCTGGATGTGGCTACAGGCCTGAAAGTTCTCCAGACCAGACCCTACAGCTAGTTTGGGATTTGTGGTGGTTTAAAGGGAGGGATTTGGAAAGTGTCTTTAAATTTCAACTCTGAAGTTCCAGAGTAACCCTGAAGTCTCAGCAAGTCCCCTCTGTGAGGCAAAGACACAAGCACTGCAAGTTCTGTTGGTTAAGAGTGAACATGCTCTGTAACGCACCGGGGAGATCTGCCAGCAAGGCAGGCTGGTGAAAACCTGCTCCATGCTTCATGTGTGGGTTAAGAGGACCAGAGTGGATGCATAAATTCAGCACAGCAGTTGGGCGTTACCACTGCCCTGTGCAGTGCCGGAAGCGGCTGCGCTGAGGTTGGCTTCATTCCAAGTGTCACTTTCTCCCTCCTTCTGCACCTTTGTTTAAACAGGTGCTTTTTCTTTCCCTTTATTCAACTTCCTCAGCAGTCCATGAGCAACACAGGGCCCAACTCTGCAGAACAGTTTTTTTGCCAGAATACTACTTTATCTGAAACTTTAAAAAAACAACTTTGCAGGTACTGCATCTTTCTTTGCAAATGTCTCCTCTCCCTCTTGCCTTTGCTTCTGGCAATGTCTGTCCTTGCTGATATGAAAAAGCAGAACTGGAGCTAGCCTGGCTTGCAGCTGGTATTGATACTTAGAGAGCGCCATTGGCTAGAGCTTGGGCTCTTGTAGAGAGGGGGGGACCCCACTTATCACTGCCAATGCCACCCTGTTCTCACCATTTGTTTTGCAGTGCGTGGCCAAGCACAGGCAACAGGTCTGATAAAAGTCCCTAGAATAGAGGTTTATTGGGAAAGCAACTGCTGTAGTGGTCATACACACACATGTATTCTACCTACTCCTTACTGACCCCGGGAGGGGTAGCTCACGCATGAACCCATTATTGCTGGAGGAGTTCATACATAAACCTCCCCTCCCACGCGTATGTGTACACATACTCTGTGTAAAAATTGCATGTCGTGACATTTTTGACTCAATTTTGCAATTTCTGTGCCCACTTTCTTATCATCTCTCTGGGTCCTTCAAAATGTTCTTTCCTGGACTTAAACTGTAGTACCTCCCGTATCTGGCTACTAGAGGCCATTTGGAGGGAGGTGGCTGTCTTCCAGGGAATTTAAAGGTGGAAAAAAACACTTTTGTACAAAACACATTGATTTCTCTGTGGCCTAAACTTCTCCCTCCCTGCTTAGAGCAGGAGGTGTCAAACATCACACTCATTTGTTTATGCTTCACAAAATTGAGGGGTTGCAGTGCTTCAGCCTGGAGTCTCAGTGGTGCATGTGCTTCTGTCGAGCTTGTGATCGGCTCCACCGCTTGAGCACCAAGGACTGCCTACCTCCAGGGACACAAATCCAGCCTCAACTCCTTGTGTGCCTCTTGCCAAGCGATCAATGGGTCTGTGGGCTGGGGAAGGATCTCAGCACAAGACAGCAGCCAGGCACTGTGTGCCCTGCCACAAGTTGCAGTGGGTGCAGAGCCCTGCTAAGTGTTTGCTTCCCGAGTGCCTCCTGGCCACCAGCAGCTGGTCACCATTCCGGTAATGGGAGATGGAGATGGGGCTGAGTCAGATGAATCATGCACACCAAACCTGTGACTTTGTCTTTGCTGCTTCAACATTTATTTCATTCTGCTTCATTGACCGGGGGTTGGATTGGGTTGATTGCTCTGGATGTAGGTTTCCAATCAGTGCTAGGTTCAGAACTTCAGAGGTGTTTATGTGTCCACTCTCACAAAACGGCTGCTGGAGTCAGTAGGAGCCAGAACGCTCAATACCTCTGCCTTTGTGAGCCCCTGTGCTCTTATGATCTGGCTGTCCCCTTGAACCGCTGTGGCT